TTATTACTTTGTATCAAATTTGAAGTATTAGGGGGACCGGAAAGTAATGTCGTTTCTGCACATGTCCTCGAAGGCATGCCAAAGTCATTTTAAGGTTATTGTGACTTGCTCACTTCTAAATAATTCAATATTAAACTTTTTTTTTTTTTTTCCAATTTTGGGTGAAGTGACCAGCCAAGAGCGTATCCGGCATTGCATGCTTTTTAAGTTTCGCAAGGGTAGTAACGCAATAGTTGCGACGTAAAGCATTTGCTATGTTTATCGATGTACATTAGACGTTCGTAAATGCCAAAGATGGTTTTCCAAGTTCAAATTCTGTAATTTTGATCTCTCTGACTCCTATCGATCAGGAAGACCAACAACATTAGAGAACGATATGCTAAGGGCAGAAGTGGAAGCAAATCCATGTCAAACACCCTTAATCTACCTTGGTCCTCCATCCAAGAACATTTAAAGCAGATTGGAAAAATAAGCAAAGCAGATGTTTGGGTCCCCTATAATCTGTCTGAACAGAACAAAGCCAACTGATCCATCATATGCAATGGAACCATACAGAACCGTTTTTTGATCTTTCGATTACTGGAGACGAAAAATGGGTCCTATATGATAATCCAAAACGCAAAAGGCAGTAGCTCTCTGCAAATGAACGGGTTTACACAGAAGCACCGAAAAGGTGCTTCTGTGCGTTTGGTCGAATATTCGCGGAATTGTTCATTTTGAATTGCTGAAACCTGGATAAACTGTTAATGCAGACCTTTAGTGTGAACATTGCATTGAGTGAGCCAATCTTTAATCGAAAAATATCAATTGTCAACAGAAAAGGCGTCATTCTGCAACACGACAATGCAAGACCGCACTGTGCAAGACGAACACTGGAAAAAATTAATGAATTGGGGTGGGAGGTACTGCCATACTTACCTACCATACTTGGCCGATATCGCAGCATTGGATTTCCACTTTATTCGGATCCCTACAACATTTTCTTAGTGGCAAAAAAATTTGAAAATTTGGATGATGTCCAAAATGTCCTCTCGAAATATTTTACTCCAAAACCAATTAATTTTTATCGGTCCGAGATTGAAAATCTGCACATTAGATGGCAAAAGGTTGTTGATAACGAGGGTGATTATATTATTGATTAAAAATAAAAACGTGTTAAAATGTATTCGTTTGAATTTAATGTAAGAAAGCGACATTACTTTCCGGTCCCCCTAATATATACTTGATAAGCAAAATGAATAGCATTGCTTTATCTTGGACATAATGACAAAACAGATTTCAGAAGCGCATATATTTTGCTTCTGTAAATAGGAAAGTTTCACTTTTTTACAATGCTAGTAAACATGAAGATATTCAGAAATGCCTATTAACCGTGTTGCAGAATTTAATTCTTACATCTCAATTACAATTAAGAATTGCATTTTCTTTCTATTCGTCCAGAATAAAGATTAATAAGTGCGTATCTGAAATCATGAATTACTCAACTATACATCACCAATCAAATAAAACATTTTCATCAGTTTTTTATATATAATAATCTTTTGGATGAAAGCATTTATCGTTTTTTAATATAAAATACACTGTATGGACACAAGAAAATCAAACCTAGATTTCAAAATAATGCTCTAAATAGCACCTAAATATCATGCGATCTGATGCAGGGAACTCTGAACCGCTTTTTCTATCTGGAAAAATATGTTTCTGAGTCAAAAGTAACTGAAATCTTGATAATTTTCAGAATCTCAAAATTTCGCAAGTTAAGATGAAATAAATCCGTTATGTTGATCATGAATTTCTACTGTATTGTTGCATAAAATAATGCACGATGTATGACGTAAATGTATGTAAAAAATGTACGATGACTTTTGTAATGTTTCAGGAACTTAATAGTCACAAGCAACTTAAAAATACGTGGAAATGTCCAATAGGGAAGAAACAAAGTAGTAAAAGAGACCGTGATTTCCGATCCATTTTGTTGCTTCTTTTAGTCTTCGTTGCTTATTTTTAAATAACTGCTCTTAAAGAAAATAAGATAAAAAAGTGATTTAAAGCAATTGCAAATATTGTCAATGATACCTGCTCCCTGGAAGCAAATATTCATTTGTCTGATAATCGGTATCATAAGTTTAACCTGAAACTTTCTTTTATTCTAAAATTTAAGCAGGTGCATCTTGATTGCATCAGTTGTTAATTAAATGTATATTTACATATACTACTTACCCATCTGTATGTAGTTATCATGTACCAATATGTACTGAAGTTCCCAAAAGTTGGCACAAATGAACCCATGCAGATTAAATAATAGCGACAAGCATAGTGATAGACATATATGTTGAAGCTTCTAGACCTGTTTTACCTTGAGAATGAAAAACCCATTGAGCTTATAGGCTTTATTTCTTGAAACCGATTTATGCTACCAAATGAAATGCTCCCAGATATACAAGTGACTACATCCCTAAAAGTCACTTGCATATCTTTCATCACTAATATCTCCATTTTTAAATGATTTCATTTCTTAATGACGTAGATAAGCGAGAAAAGAGTTGATCATCTTCCCAAGAAATTATTTCACGATAACATTATGCTGTCTATTTGGCAAATGTGAAGCAAGCTGGAGCAGTATTTCTTTAACGTCTCATATATATCTTTACTAATATCCTGCGTCTACCTGTTCTTTATAAATACTTTACACTACTCGAACTACATAAGGAACAAACGATGGAATTATTTTCTCTCATATTACAGACTTAATTTTTATTATTATTTAAAAAAAAGAAAAAAATAATCTGTAGTTTTTAAATTTGTCATTAAGCCTTATTAAGAGGTCTGTAAAGCCTGTAAAAATTCCATCCAAATCCCTTTTACCTTCCCTTCTGCTAACTTTTTGCCCATCCTTCGTATTTCGTTAGATTTATAAGGATTTATTTTCTCAGATAATTAGGAAAATCTTAAGCCAATATGTTAGTTTTGATTGCACTGGTGTTGATTTCCAAGAGCCATATGATTCTTGAAAAAGTGTGGGCTTTATTATTATTATTATTACGGTGAAGTCGGATATGCCTAGTATCTTTAAACGATATAATGGCCCTCACAAGTAGATTAGTAGTATTTCAGTATTTAAAACATGCGATTGCGCTTCTCGAGATCTTAAAAAATAACAAAGCATTTAATGGGTCTGAAGCATTTTGAAATTCAGACCCCAAACTGCATATTTTAATCAATATTTCGGTAGAAAGCTTACTTGTATTACGCAACGTGTTAACACTATTTGGAGAGAGCGAAAGTAGCATAAAAATTTATGTATATATCATGATGAAATTAGGGCCTTCCTAATTCTCTTACAAAGGTCTACCGCAGTTAATGCATTGTTTGGATCTCATTTATTTATCTGAGCTCCAAAAAAGACTTCAGCCGGAAATTTCGCACAGTTATTTAAAGCAGACATATTTATTACAAAACAAACCACAACGGACAACACTGCCCCGTTAGCAAAAGATATTGAAAATAGTTGCATGTGCCGAATCACTTTGCAACGAAAACCTGCAGATTTCGTGCTAAAGATCCATCTGCAGTAGAAAGAGAATCCCTTTGTTTCCGTGGGTCGGTAACATTCATCAGCGGGAATTACTCTTAATGTTGGCCATTGAGAAATAGAGACGAGGCACGCTCAGAATGCTGTTTTGGAAAGAAAAGACCATCAATATGTTTCATGTTTAAATCTTTCTGGACGACAGGCTAAAGAGGGATTATTAAAGTTATTCGTCTCATAGAAGCAAAAAATGTGCTTTCGTGAAACTACATGAATAATATTTTTTGAGGAAGTAAGCTAACAATTTGCAAGAAAAGTTCCCTGGCAAGTTCCCTGGAAGTGCCTTTCCTCCGAATAAAAGGTCTGCTTGTAACATAAATATGAAGGTTCGTTTCCCTTAGCCTTTCCACGACAGTCATCGCTGCAAACTCCCGTAGTGTGTTTTACCGTTATTAAGCAGTCTAATTTAACACAAAAATATTGGTCTTAAAATAGGGAGTACCATTAAAAAATGATCTCCAATGATCACCTGTAAATAATTAATTTTAAAACCTTGCATGCAAAATTGTCTGATTTATTAACTGGATAAATATGCTGCTGCTCTCACTGTGGTTACCTTATGTTTCAATTCGTAAATGGTAATTTCAAATCAGATTATCTTCAAAAGTCTTCAGAGTGAATACACGTTTAAAGTTATTCTCGTAATTTTCACTTCCTAATAAATAAGAAAAGACAAACTTGTAAGAACCAGTTACTCAGATCAAGTTATTTAATAAACTGTGAAATCATCACCTTTATTAGCGATTTTTAATACCTCTTAGACCTTCTGCGTTAAGATGTAACGAAGAAAAATTTTTTTAAGTGCTTAACGTTTTGTTTTTTGAAGCAATATTCTCCCTACTGGTTGTATATTTCTCCCTTTGTTTCTTAATTCCCTGCATTTTGAATTAACTGTGACAAAAACTCTAGTCAGTGTAGGTGTCGTAGTAACATTCAAACAAAATATTTTACCATTAAATCCTTGAAACAGAAAATTAAGATTCCTAACTGGTGGAAGTATCCCAAGTATGGTATAGTTAATTACTGTTTAATGCACTGACTATCTTTTCAATAAAACACCAGTAAGTCTTCTCTTAATTTTTATCATTATACTCTATATATTATATAAAAACAATAGGAAATGTTAAACATTATTCAATCCCTTTCTGATAATTTTAATACTAAAGTCAAATAAATTAAATTTTTTTAAATATACTTTGAGAATAAATAACAATTAAATATCTACGTATGGTGCAAATGAATATTTTTATGAATTGAATAAAAAGGACATATTCGTGAAATGAAATTGAGCATTATGTAAGAATATGGAAAATAGAATGAAATATTCTATATGTTATACAGAACATATTCTTAAATATCTAAAAATTGACTCTCTTTTTCTATTTTTATTTATTTATTTATTTATTTACAGGTTCCGAAGGTACATCCCCCAAACCTGCGCCTTTAACGTGTCACCTTCGGCGACATAAAAGCAACAGGAAACCACGGACTCCGTTCACTACTCAGCAGCTTCTTGCTCTTGAAAGAAAATTTCGGTCAAAACAATACCTTTCTATCGCCGAGAGAGCTGAATTTTCTTCGTCACTGAGCTTGACAGAGACTCAGGTCAAGATTTGGTTCCAAAATAGAAGAGCTAAAGAAAAGAGATTAAAAGAGGCAGAAATTGAAAAACTACGTATGGCTTCTAGACCTTATCCTACTTTGCAGTCACCTTTGCAACTCCAGCACGGCGGAGCACTTGCAGGCTTACCATCTGCGGTTGCAAATGCTTTCTTCTCACCGATGGTTTCAGGGGTAGGAGCGTATGGTAAAATACCTGGATCAGCTCTAATCCAACCATACTGTATACCTTCTTCTGCTCAAATGACATCACTAACACTCTGTCCCAGGTGACGTGATGCCAAATTAAACTGATTTGTACTGTGCTGTGAGATACAGTATTTCACTGCTTACTAGGAATAGATCTTCATACTTCAGAAGTTTTTCGTGCTTCAGAAGATTTACGTGTATATTAAACAGATTAGACTTTCCAGTATTTAAAGTGTGAACTGGAGCAAATGATATGCAAGGGAAAAGGAATAAGTTTCCTGAAATCACCTCAAGTCTTTCAAAACAATAATTTTGCATATTGCAATTGTAGTTCTCCTGCGGAGATATTCAAAACTGTTTACAAATCTAAATGAATAAATAAATAAAGCTATAAATGTTCAAAATGTCAGCATGTGCAGTCCAATGTTCATAACATAATTTTACTTTTTATGAGTTTACTGTTTTGATTCTGAAAAGATTCTAGAATAGCGGAGTTAAGAGAATTAAAAGAAAACTTACTTGTTTGCTAAAACGAGTTTCGAAACTATTTTAACATCAGCAAATTATAAAGGTGAGTACTAAGGTGTATACGTATGTCAAAGATTTTGGAAGATTCTTTGTTTGAGGTAGTTATTCACATCAGTTCTTCTTTCAGTGCAAATGGATTTTTGGACAGAACAATGTAAGTAAATTATTACCTCAAAAACAAAAATGCATAGCATAGAAATAACTTTTATGCCTAAAACATGCTAGTGACGTTAATTTCAATGAAGAATATATTTAACTGTTATTTCAACAAAGAGTTTGTTTCTTCTGAAATATACTGAAAGGCAAGAAAACATTTCCAATGAGGAATAATTTATCTCAGTAAAAATGTAACAAAAGTAATTTCATTACACAGATAATATTTACGTTGATAAACCTCTTAATGATGATATTGCTTTTAAAGATGTTGTTTTTAGATGCTGGAAGAGTAACTTCATGTAATCCTTGTAAATGTTTTACGAGTGTAGGCATTTCTGAATTAAATTGTTTTCTCGAGGATGTTGTTTTAACTTGACTCTCTGTTTCTCAGTCATCAATAATGCTCAAGGCATCAAACGTTACTTATCGAAAACAATAATCTTTGTAAAAATGAAAGAATTTCAAGACATATTTGCATATTTATTTTTGTAAACATACTAACATCAGTTTTTAATTAATAGCAACTATATTTTTAGATGTGAGCATGTGTTACTCGAAGTAACAGTATGAGTCTTATAATTATTTGATTAGGGTGCATTTCAGATTTTTCGTGGAAACTTCAGAAATTTTAAATTCATTTATATGAAAAAAATTGAATAAATATGGCAACTAGTGTATTAATTTTATGCGTAATTAAAAAAGTTGGCGTCAAGAAGTGCAAGTATTCAGCTAAATTTTTGAAATAATTCTCTCTCTCTCTCTTTTTTTTTTTTTTTTTTCTTTTTTTCTTTTCTTTTGAGCACAAATTTCTCATTTCATCTCTTTTTGGACAAAATTAAATTCTAGTTACCAGCACATTTGCGACCATTGGTCTATAACGGATGTTTTTAGATGAAATATTGAAATATTCGCCTATTAAGCTTAAAACGTTCTATTAAGCCTAAAATCGATTCAAATTCTCAAAGCACAGGCACAGGCACGAAAACTAGAGCTCTTAAGTCCTTTACTGAGGTATACTGAATACCTTGAATGCACGTCACTTCAGAAATTCTTCCCCAAAATCTTCTATAGGATTCAGATGTGGCTTTGCAGTGGCCCACTTTACCCTAAGTACATGGGGAGAATGAAATCAATTCACAGCAGGAGCAGATTATCTTGTTAAAATATGTCAGTGAGTGCGCTTATTTTGGACCATCATTTAGGAAAAATTTCTTTACAATATCCCTATGCATTAAATTCGTAATTTGTTTGTAATTTCGTTTTAATGGAGATAGTTCAAAGAATGAAACTTCTTTTATAAACGACAAGTAAATTTCACGTTTTGTTACGTCCTCAGTTCATACTAATCTTAAAACAAATCATCTAGCACATCCAGTTTTAGCTTTTAGTCAGTAAATGCAGTATCTATCTGTCAGTTTACCCCGTTCTCTTAATCAAGAGCCAGTTTATACGAGCAGATTGATCCACTTTAGTAAGAGCTGGCTTCTGAAAAAATATAATGATATAATGTATATAGCAAATGTTTTAATACAAGGGGGTAGTCACACGATTTGTTTTGAGTAAAGAAGCTTCAAATTCTACTTTTTATGCAGGTATGATTGTCTATTTTTGATCGCTTAGTTTATTGTACATTTTTCATATCGAGATGTATTTCTCTGAGCTTACTTTGTGCATTACAGGGTATTTCATAAAAAGTTATTAGACTCTAGTTTTGAAAACCACTTCAAAGGGATTTCTCAGACGTTCTTGAAAGATTTATACAAATGTTTTCCTAATTTTAAACTAAAATCTAATTAAGATTAAAAAATTGGGCGTAGAATCCCAAATGAGATTCCGATTAAACTGCGAGTTATGTTCTGTTTGAAATATAACTTCATATTTCTGGCAAAAGAAAACATTCTGTCTGGATAAATATAAAATGGTGTTTTAACAATTTTTTTGCCTTAAAATAGAGCCAAATAAATTTAAAACTAACTTTCAAATCTTCTAAATTTTTATTGAAATAGTTAGTACGAAATAGTTAGTTTTATTGAAATAGTAGTAATTTAATCAGCACAAATGTTTTTCAGGCTTTTCATGAAAGTTTTCCGGTGGCCATTTTAAATATGAAATGCACCTTACGGGCAAAAATTATTTTGCTAACTTTCGAAAGCATTTATAATTAAAACCCTCATTATCATAATTTAAATAATTTTTTAACATTACATCGCTTTATACAACAACATTTCTTCTAAAAACGCAACAGATAAATTCAGGCACAAAGTTACTTTTGAGAAAAGAATTTTAATTAACTTTAATTTATATTTATAGTCCAGCAGTCTGAGGAAGAATGTTCGAGTTAAAGGTAAGTCTTGAAAAAAATTTTGTTGATAGAATTCTCTTCTTTATATAAATTACAACGTAAGGCAAAGTTTGCTAAAATTATGTAATAAGTTATGCACATCAATTGTATACTATTGTAATCGAAGTGATAAGATCAATAGATCTTCAGAATAAAAATATGCATTAAATTTTAATAATCAATATCGAAAATTTAAGTTAGCGTACATTTCCATTTGAATTTAAACAGGAACCATTTTTGGGCGTTCGAGTAAATCTCTCGCTGGACCACAGAAGAGAAGGTATTTTTAATTTAAAATTTTTCTTAATTTTGTTGCAAAAGTTCTTGATTTGTGGGCTGCATATTCTGTTTTGGACTACGAAAGGATCTCGTCCGTCACAGTCGCTTCAGGTAAATGATCACATATTTTTGATTGTCTTCACTTAATACAATAAGTGAATAACAAATAATTTCATTAAGGCGTGAATGGATAGCGGTTAAAATATCCTTGCAGAAATATTTATCAGTAGAAAGGTAAAGGTGATTTATTTTTACCTTTTTGATTACTGTATCTGCCACTTCGATATTAAAGCTTAAAAAATAGCTGAATTTAATACTAAAAATGCAGCAAGTTTAAAGAAGAAGCACTTAAAAAATGTAAAATGGCAAGTAAACAACAATCAACTTGCAGACATTACGTGTTTAAAGGGCATTTGACTAAAAATATATGTATCTTACATTTAAAAGTATTTATAACACAATAAAGGCATGTAAATCATGACTTAGAGAAAATATTATTTTAGTAAAGCTTTGTAAAATTATGTAATGTCATATAGCAATAGAGATACGGATAGATACAAACAACTCTATATAGATTTTGATATATGTGTGCATGAATGTACACATTATAAAGTCTTTCATTACATCTTTTTTTTAATTATTATTATAGAATCACAATAAACATACTTTGTTAAAAAAAATCATGCGATAAACAACGTTTACTGATTTATCATTTTTAGTTATTTATTCATCATTTTTAATTTATCAAACTCTTCATATCTCCTTTGTGTTATGCCAGAAATTCTGGTTTTTTATTCTTTCACTTTATTCCTGAATATAAAAATTCGATCCTTTGACAGCTGTGAAGCATCATTTCGTAATACTCCTTCATTAAACATAGACATGCTGGACCTAGGAAAACCTAAATGCTTTCCTTGTACTCAGTTAGCAGCTTGAAAACTTATTATTTAAAAATATATATATGTTGCTGCTTCTAGTACATCCTAAAATTAAATTAAGAAGCTTTGAAATGGGTCTTAACTTTTGGTCTTTTTATTGGCTTAGGAATATGCCGTTAGAAGTTCACAAGTAAAATGAACTATTATGCTTCCAGACATTTGGATATGTAGTTGTCGAATTATTCAGCTTAAGATTACAAGTCATATTTCTAATTATAAACGTGAAAATTTACATCAAGCAATTAATTGTGTCAAGTTGTTGGAACTATCGTGGTCCTCCGCGCATCCTTACATGGCCTAAGTAGTTAGTATGCTCAGCCACCAATTGGAAGATCCATATCTCCGCGAGGGCAGCATTCATACCTCACTTTTCTAACTCCAAGAAATCTATAAAAATTCGCTACAATTGATTTGATAACATAGAATATTCTAAAGCATTCAGAGTCTCAAACGAAACTTATAGCTCAAAGGTAAGTGTAGCTCAACAGGAGTTAACAAAATAGGGAAACGTTAAAGAAAATGTAAGAACAAAATAGGAAAACAAAGTACTCGTGTCCAAGCTGCAGGGATCTGTTGAGCAGAATTCAGACAAAGGGTTGATTTCTAGTGGGTGCCATCACATTGTGGCCTTTGGGGAAATGAGATGGCGGACCTTTTAGCAAAAAAATATACGGATATTCTTCACAGGTCTTCCAGAGACCTATCTCTTCCCTCTACTAAACTTGAAATCAATAGGATTTATAAAAATCTTTTCGTAATGGCGCTGTTAGTGTTATTGAAAATAAGTCATGGAGGGTGCTATTAAAAGCCGACTGTGTCTCAGACTCTCCTCGTGCTACTGCTGTGGCTGATTTTAGACTACTGACTGGGCAAGACTGCTTTGGTGCTCATTTGTTCCGTTTTAATATGACTGTCTCACCTTCATGTGCTTTGTGTGATTCTGGACAAGTCATTGACGCTGCTCATCTGAACGTGTGCTCTGCACTTAAAGAGTTTGGACTGCATTGTAAAGAAGTATTGGAGAGCCCAATGCCTAATGACCTGATGGTCAATGGCCAGGCATTTGATAAATAAAAATAAAAAATAATAATGTAAGAACAAAAAGTAGACTGAACCTATAAATGTGCGTGCAATAACGAAATTAAAATGCAAACGATTTAAAGGTAAAAACTTGGTCAGATACTGTAACATTATTCTAATAATATATGAAAGCAAGAATCAAGTCCGCTACAAATTTCTTTAATATCTCAGAATATAAATTTTTTCAGATTTTCTCTTTTTTTATTATTCGTTTTACACTTTGAGAAGAGGTTCTACGCACGGGAAAATGTATTGAATTTGGCTGAAAGTTACTTACTTTTATTCCTTCTCGATTTAGAAGTTTAATACTCTGAAACGTTTAAGTGATTATAAGAAGAGTAAAGAGAATGTGATTAAGTGGTTACGAGTGTTGGAAAAAATGCATTCAAAAGAGGATTTCTGAAAGAAACTTGCTCATTTTACCGAGGGAAATTTCTGAAAATCCCTTGCGGCTCCGGCCATCAGAATCGTTCGCCATATTCAATGCATGATAGGAAAAATCTTGTAAAAAAAATTGGAAATTGGAAAAATCTTGTATCATGCATCGAACTCTGTCCCAGCCGGATTCGACACTCAAAAGAAATTGCTATTGCTTAGGAAATGTTTCTAAGTTTAAAATATTTTTCAAACTTTTTAAAATACGTGGTACAATTCTAGTCGACTATATTTTATATTTTTTCCAAATTTTCTTTCATCTTCTGTTTAACTGAATATCAATCTTTCACTTACTATGTGTAAGTGCAAACTAACTATTCAGATTTAAAATTAAGTAAATGTAACAGAAGATATATTTCCACACTATGAAAACACCTTTTATTAACTTTTTGTGAAAGTTTTTGAATCTTCAAAAGCTCTTCGAAAAGTTCGGATATTTACACTACTTTTCTTTAATTAATAGGAAAAACAGAGAGAGGAAATTTGAGTTAGAAAATTAGAAGCGTTAAGTTAGCTGTAAGATTTCAGCCATTCAAAACAAGTTGTGTTAAATTTTAGAAGAAATTTATATATTCATATTGGAACAAATAACAGTTATAATACCAGTTATATCCAATATTAATGCAACATGACAGAAATAATGGTAGTCCTCAAAATGGCGTTTTTTATGGTATATTGGTTCCTAGGTGCATCCTACCCAGTGTTCTGGGTGATAAGATGGCCATTCCTAACGAATGCTTCCGAGAAAATGCCGAACCATTTCTTAGCAAAAAATATAATAATAATAATAATAATAACTAAATAATATGAAATCTTATATTTTTCAGAAAGTATATCTCACGTTTGCCGAAAATTTTTCCTGGACGTTCGCCAGTATTTTGAGCATTATTTGCTGTAGATGTTTGGATAATTTACTGACCGTATTAACCGTAGCTATTCTAGTGAACTAAACTAAGTGAAGTATAAATTTTAGTGAATGAAATTAACTACAAATTTTAGTGACTAAAACTAAGTAAAACTAATAGTGAAAAACTATCTAGTGAATAAAACTAAGTGGACTATCAATTCCAATGAAAAAAAAAACTAAGCGTTATCTGTAAGTATTCTAGTGAACGAAACGAATAAACAGTGAAGACATATAAACAATACAATTTATGCAATACAAATATGCAGATTATGCTAATAAAGGTGACATTAGTGCATCTGTAGCAGATCTGAATATTTTGTAAGATATTTATTTCAATAACTATGCAAAAATTTTCCTCCTGAGTAGTTTTAAAGCATCAGGCATTAAGTGCATTATGTCCTCTTAGTAATATAAATAAAAAATGAGATCTTTTCTCAAGTATAAGTAGTTTTATGAGCATCTTAATGCGTTGGAAGAAACAATATTTTTTGCTGCAAAAGAAAATAAATTTCTGTTGTGGCTCCAAACCGGTTAGCGTGGCATGGGGTCCTTGGCTGATCATATAATTGAAGTTATTTCTCTGAGGAAAGATATCTTTAAGAGATTAATGGGTTCAGTGTTTAAAAGTTGAGTCTTTTCAAACTTATATATCGTCTATCTCCTTTTTAATGTATAATGTTATCTTAATATAGAATTTTTCTTATATAGTTCATCTTTTTTAAGAAAAAATAATTTGAGGCGTAAATCTACCGAGAGTAAATATTATAGCAGGTGGAGGAAGATATGGTTAATAGAAAAAAGTAAAAGATATCGGAAACTTTCGAAAGTGTGGAAAACAAAACATTCACAAATATTAAGCAAGGGTATTAAGCATTTTTCATTAATTTTGTTTTTATAATTCAGTAGCTATTTTCTTCCCTGAAACGTCTTATGTACCACAGTCAGATGTCTAGTAAGAAAATGTTTATAACACATTTTATTTGCAGTATGTTATTAAGAAAAAGGAACATATGGTATGCATGGGAAAATAAGCTCATTGTTTTTTAGTGAGACTGGTCGAGCACTGGACTTATGAGATGATATTTCGTTATTTAACTTCGCTGCAGATTCTTTCGAATTCAGCAAAAATTAGAAGGCCATACTTAGAAACTTACTTCTGAAATTTAAACAAATGAGTTTAATCATTTTAGAGTATTTCAGATCTACGATTTTAATTGCGAATGCTATGCATACATGTGATGTACCAGCTTTTGTCCTAAATAAATAGATTGCTGAATAAATACAAATGTAGTCGTAGCTTAAATTATCAGGCGATAAGTTTAGAAAACAGGATCCATTTATTATTATTCAGGAGAAATAGCAGTTACAAAATCAGATATCCGGAGTAAATAAAAAGAATTACTAATAACTTTTTGTATGAAGTTTACTGCATCGTGACATTTAAGAAAAAGCCCCCGATATTCCTTTGCGAGTCTTTTTATAGCCTCTGGAAAGGCGGAGCTTCCAAGAAGACGTCAGCCTCGTCATCCATTCCAATTCGCTTTAAATACATCCAGAACATTCTATAACTGTACCTGTAAAAAGGCGGGAAAAACAACTTGACTACAGGGCTGTAGATTTAATTCCATGTACTTTCAAATAAGAGAACGTCGCCATTAAAAATGAAAAGAACATACAGTTAGAATATATTTTATAATTACACACATGTATAAAATAAAGAGCATGAAAAAATTTATATAACATAATTCAAAATTTAATTTCGCAATGATATATTTTAATTTGAAAATTATTTTAAATTCTAAATGATTTCATGTATCATCTGTAGGGTTTTGTAAACTTCTGTAGCTTATTTTTATTATCAGGGAGAAAAGAAATCAATTAAATTAATTACGATCTAATTGCTGCTATAAAATTGTAAATAAGTAAGCAAACATTTGTTAACATACTTGCTAAATTTTTTACATCTCACAGAAAGCAAGCCTAAATGACAAACTAAAGCAAATATATATATAATAGAACATACCTCAAATGATTAATGTATGTAATAAAAATGAGATGCAGCGATTATGATTAGTTGTTGTTAGTCCTCAAGGAGTAGAGTATATATATATTGTATTTAAATGAAAAATATGCCTCTTGCATAATTATGCGCTCTATTAAGGAAAATAATTGAAACGTTCATGATCTACGGTTAAAAATTCGATGACCTTTCATTTTATGCTAACAGAATGGGGAATTCAAGTGTTAACTACTGTTACTTATTAAGAAAACAGCGAGAGAGAGAGCAAAAATTTTGTTTAAAAAAATTTAGCTCGTTTTCCAGGATTTCATATGCATAAACTGAAATATTGTCCTGTAATTACTAAGGTGTATCACAATTTTTAAGAGGTTTAATAAATAAAGCTCGTTTCAGTCAGATTTGAAAGGATATATGTAGATAAAATAAAGATGCATATTTTATTATGAATGAAGATGTATGCAGAAGTACGACATTCGGACATTAGCTTTGTTTTTTTTTACAATGACTCACGCCGAGTACCCAAAATAATGGAAATAGCCCGCTCAATAATTCGGTAATAATTGTGATGAAACCATTAGCTTTCATCACTTTTCTGGGCACAGTTTCAATAAGATGCTGAAATTTTTCCTGAGAAATATTAGCCCACGCTGATAAATTAGCAGCTCCAAGTCCACTTAGATTAGATTATAGTATTTCTAAACACCGGAATATTTTTTCCAGTTTATCCTTAGTTTTTTTTTTAATGACAAGCACTAGCCATTTTTAGGCTTTTGCCACTACTAAGGCCAGAAGTAGTGGTCATTTTATTATGGAGGCACCTAACAGGCATCTACCGTTACCTCCTATGAGAGGACAAGCAATTTACATTCATGCCTTCTCTGGGATTCGAACCCGGACCCTTCGGTACCGCAGTCGGCTTCCCTAACCACTATACCGTCTATTTATGTAAGTGTGTACTATATATCTCTATATGAGTTTGTATTTATATGTATATACATATACTTTGATTGTACTCTTCTTCAAGTGCCTTGTATGTACATGTATATATTTCTTTGTACATTGTTGTACTCTTCGTGAAGTGCCTTGTATGAACATGTATATATTTCTTTGTACATTGTTGTACTCTTCTTCAAGTGCCTTGTATGCATAGATATATTTTTTTTTTTGCATTTTATAAATGTCGTCTGCTCAGGCCCAGGCCCAGGGCTGCGGCCTGGTAGCTAGTGGTTGACTCCCGCCGAGTTGGTAACCAATTCTGCATGGATATATCTATACCTGGGTCGGAAGCCAACTCAGCGGTTTACCTTCCCTAACCACTGTACTGTCTGGGGGGCTTTTTCTAATAAGCTGTTCAATAACTTTGAAGTCAAGGGAAAAAGCTGACCGATGAAACAATTTGAACTCAGCATCAAGCTTCAAACTAATTTGAGATCAGTCGTGTTACGGTGACAAGATGCATTGTCCTGTGAAAGGGATCATCTGCATCAGGGAACATCGCAACCATAAATAACGGTACGTGATCAGAAACAACGCTGCGGTAAGTTATAGTGTTGAAAGTTGTTTCGAGAGATAACAAGGGCTCGATTACGCTCCAGAAAATTTTGCTTAGATCATAATTTCTCTAAAACCCATTTGAAGAGTTGTCATTAGGGAAGATGATACCAGTAATTATTTTTGTTTCTCTCTATTCTACTTCTATCTGCGTGACGGAACAAGAAACATAGGCACCAAGCAACGTTTTTTTCAATAGTCAGTAGTCCAGGTTTCTTTCTGAACTCGCAGTAACTGTGAAATTTTGTGTTTTCAGTGATAGCACAGGCATCTTCTGCTGTTAAAATTTTCCCATTGTAAAGTCCATTAGGTTGCGTGTTTGCTCTATGGCAGGGTTTCTTAAACTTTTTTCAGTCGCGACCCCTTTTTATCATTGAGATTCTTTCGCGACCTCCAGGACTCCATAATATTTACCAAAATTTTATGGGACCCCATAAACATTGCTCAAATCCGACACACGCGTGTGTGAAACTGTCAATTTTTTCACTTGTACTGTAATAGACTATTACAGTTTTAGGTCATTAACTTTAATTTCTAATTTAAAGACATAGAACAATGTGAAAATTGTAAATAAGTAACAGACGAAATGACAGCGTCACGTGCAAAGCAAGTGAAATGAACGTTTCTATTATAAAAAGAATGCGTCGAAACGTTTTCCCCCCTTTTTTTGTCTGTATTGTCTTATCTTTATCTATTTTCAGGTGTATACACTAGGTGTATACACTAGCTCTGTCTTATTATTCCAAAGCAAATTAAGGTAATGTCATGTAGGTATTTAGAAAGTATATGTATGTAACAGTGCTGGATTGCATGTCAGCAAATGTATTAACAGAAGCATGTAAATAATTACTAATGTATATCTGCCCTTGTTTAGCCATGTACATGCTATTCGTGAAGATTCAAAATCACTGGATCCGGGCACTTTGGACGGGTGTCTACCCGGGGGCATTTGGTTCGCGGAACTGACAACCGGATGGTCCAGGCGTTGGGTTTGGGCGCCTTGTGCAAGCCTCCCATGTGGCATCTCTGGCTTTACTCAGTATAAGGGCGGACGGGGCCCTATATGTTAATTAACTTAATAGTAAAGGGGTGGTGGCCACGTCCTCCGTCACTCTCACTCACTCACTCTATTTTCAGGTACATTGCGTAAAAATATTTGATAATTGTAAAATTATTATATTAAGTTAAAGAAATATCAAAATTGCTAAATTTTTGGCGACCCCCATGGGAGTCGCGAACCACAGTTTAAGAAACACTGCTCTGTGGTATACTCGAACTATATTTAGATGCTATTTGCCTTGTTGATATGTTTCTGTTGCTGCGGACGATTTGTGTTAGCCGCCATTCGTTTCTTTCGTTTACCAACACTAAATTGTCCTTTTTGTCCTTTTTGTATGAATGACCAAAATTGTCCTTTTTGTCTAAAATGTTTTTGCTCAACTGTTACAATATAAACATCCGAGGAACTGTTACATAAGAAAAGTTTAGAACATTAGCCGTTTCATGTATGCTGCAACAGAGTCTTCTTTCTTCCACACTATATGTTTCAGCATCTATCGTTTTCTCTGAAGTCCAAAACTGTGCCCCAAAAGGGGGTGGTTAGCTACCCCTCTTGACTTGCTGGCAACATAATTAATGTGTTTTTTCCGTGTTCAATAATGATTCAAAATCACCTTTAGATGTGTGATTTTTGTTGCTGTCAGTACTTGCACACCAAACATAAAAATTAATTTATAATGATATTTTGCACGTTCTTTCTGCGTATTGGCAGAAACTTGGAGTTGGTTGTATTAATGGAGGTTCTCCAGTTTGTATACTAATTTTCAATTTCTAACACACTAATTCTTCTCAAGATAAGCATGTCTCATATAGCATTTCCTGGTTATTTCATCCCTGCACTTAACTGGTAATCTCATCCATATTAAAAAAACGGGAGTCTCTAAAATTCTTTTGCTACATATTTTGATAAAATTCTAAGATATTTGTATATAGTTCAAAATGTCGTACTTTATATTCTGAATCTATCTGGAATTTTATAAGTGCTTTCTAAAGATCTTTCGGAACTTCAGCCATATCCATAGATAATGTGTTGAACATTATTTGCACGTTCTTCGTTTGAGTATCGAATTCCTAGAATCTGTCTTAAAGTCCAGCCTCCAATTAAAGAATTGAAGAAACGTAACAAGGAGAATAGTCGCCATGGTTTGTAAACTTCAGTTGATTTTCTCAATTGAAGTTTCAAGTTCGTTCAGGTAAGAAGATATACCCACAAGGAAGCAAATCAATCACTCATTCGATCATCGAAACTCGTATATCGTTTTGCCGTTTGTTTTATAAAGTCAAAAATCGTTCATTTCGAAATATTTTAATGTGACTTGAGTACAACATAAAACCAGAAGACATCTCTATGATCCTTAAGGTACTCTCTTTACGGAGAACTTTGAAACAATTAACGATTCAAACCTATGATCGAAATGAGTTTTACAATATCAGTGACAAATTCTGTTATATTATTGAGCGAGAAGGATTTGCAATAGATTCTTCTAATGAATTATGTAATGGTAATTAGTAAAATCCGGACCCTTTGTTCTGTCTCAAAAGCACGAGATATCTAAAATTATTGTCGACTATACTCAGATTTTCATGTGTCTTCTACAAGGTTTTTAATGCTGAACTGATATTTTTTCGGGGTTGCTTTTGTTGCCTCAAGAATATCGACTCCTATCATAGTTTCTCTGAACAGTGCAGAGTAAAACATTCTGTTAAAATTTTCAGCTTGTCATTCTCTTCACGAATAAAATGCGCTTACTATGTGATATCAACTAAATAGATACATTTTTGATATTTTATTGAACATTAAAAAGGTAAATATCTGTGTTCTTAGCTTCTTGTAAATCAAACAAGCAGATAATCTGGGGTGGAGCTGCTGTCCACGGACAGCAGCTCTACCCCAGATTAATGAAGAATAACCCGGAAGACAGATCCCAAGGTCTCCTACCACAA